TCAAAGACCGACTCAATCCCAAAGAGCAATCTGGTTTACCACATCCTCTGTCTTAGCTGCCGCGTTTACATAAGTTGCCTGAGAGATTTGCCCACGCGACGAGCCGAGAATGCATTAACGTCTGGGCCACAGATGGGAACTCAGTCAATCGCCGTATCGACTTTGCACCGGCGTACAGAAAGCTCTGCACAGTCACCCCCAGGCCGGCGTCGCTGATAGTCGACTGGTTTACACTTCTTATAATTGCCCTCTTTTTGTTGCTGCTATTTTCTCTGACGATGAATTCTTCTATGAGTTTGAAAGCTCAAAGTAATAAACAAATTGTTCCAGGGCTCGACCAGTCATCTCCTTTACTCATTTCACGTAACTCACTGTTGTACTACAGACGGGCCACAGGAAAGGAGGCAGCCGGCCCACCCTCAGTGATAGTTCTGCAGTTCTGCTGCTGTTTTGGAGAAAAACGAACGGTAAGTGTCGATCTTACCATGGAGATAGCCACAGCCAACGAAGGCACAAAAGCAGCCAACTACTAAACCACTAGGCAATGTTAAGATATTGCAAACTCGGGGTAGTAGTATGGCAGTAGGAATCTAGAACTATTTTATGTAGGAGTTCCAGAACATCCCAGCAAACATTTGGCAGCCACGTCCAGCCTGGCCATGACACAGCTCATGTATACACGAGGACCTATCCAGCAGCGTTATTACGATTACTCCTTATTTACAGTCGCTCTACCGCAAGCTTTTCATTCAACAGTCATGACTCTGACAATGAACCTAGACAGCCGCTTGAACACTGCTCCAAACTCGTGCTTAGATTCGTAGGAACAGAAGGCCGATTCAAAGACCACTGCCAGAAACGGGTCTTTGACTATTTCTCTGGTGACGAGTCCGCGCCGGATCTGGAAACGTCACGCGAACAAAAGTATTGTCCCAGCGATCGAGTCGTCTTCTTCATCTCAAAAGGCCGATTATTTAAATACCATTGGATTAATTCTTACAAAACAGGAGCCATTTTCTTGGTGAGGTTGTCTCTAGCGGTCTTTTTGGGTCCCTATGTATTATG